ATTTATTTATTTATTTATTTAGCGGTACCGGGGATTGAACTCATGACCTTGCACTTGACAGGTAAGCGCTTATTCTACTGAGGTATCTCCCTGACCCTTATGATGGATTTTTTGAAATGTAAAAAATATACACTTAAAAAATTAAATGGTACAGGGCCCATCCTGTACTCCTGGCTACCCAGGAGCTGAGACAGGAGAAATCACAGGTCCTGGGCCAATCTGGGCAATTTATTGAGTCCTTGTCTCAAAATTGTAAAGGGGTAGGGAATGCGCCGTGGCTGCGGCTCAATGGTGAAGTGCTGCCTAGCGTGCACATCAAACACCAACACAACTGCATTCCCAAATGCGGCACAGACACCGCGGCTACCGGTGACCTGAATGAGCCCTAGCCTCTGTTCCCTCACACAGCCTGGCCACTGGTTCCTTAGAAAGAAAGCTCCCTGAGGGCGGTCCCTCCCCACCTGAACTGTGACTCTAGCCTGCCTCCCCCTCCCGCAATCCCTTGGGACTGCCACTGTCCCAGCGGTGGCCCAGCACTGCTGCTGGGCTGATCTCTTCAACCCAGACTCAGTTTGGGTGCAGTGCTCCAGACGGCAGGGGCCTCTCCAAGCTCGGGGGCAGCGAACTGCACACACTGCAGGCCTCTGTTGAAGGGCCCCGCCCAGGAGCCTTCCCAGTTCACCACCTCCCCGCACCCCTGCATAGAATCCCTGGTCTAATGCATCCCACTTGGAGTGGAATCCCTATTTACCTGGGAATCCAAGTCTTCTCCTTTCAGGCAGAGGTTGGCATCCAGGACATTGAGTCCCACCAGCAGCCCGACGAGCACTGACCCTTCTTCTTCCATGAGCAGCGCCTCAGGCTCGTAGAACTCGCTGAAAGAGACCACTGCACAGGGAAGCCGCGACTCTGCTCCCGCATGTCCCTGTCCCCTCCCTTCTGTCCACTGTATCGGGCGTTAAGTTCCAGGCTCTCCACTACAGTTTCATTTATTTGAGGTGGGGCCTGGCGCGGCTGCCTACTGGTCTTGAACTTGTGCGTGTGAGCCAGCAGCTCGCGTCAGGAGCCCAAGTGATGGGACTCCTCTGCAGCACGTGCCCACGATCGGCCTATGGCTCCCTTTCCTCTTGCCTCTGGTCACCAGGGGGTTCCAGGCCAGCTGCAACCCTGCAACTTGTGAGCCAACAATAACCCTTTTCTTGGTCGAGGTTGCCTCTCTAGGTGTTCTAATGGTGACAAGCTGCTGGCAGTCTGCACCCTCTCCTTTCTGCCAGGCCCCAGGAGGGACTAGTTCACATGGCCAAAGCCCCTCCTCTAGGTCCTGGGCTCCAGCCTCTCTTGTCCCCTGAGGCCCTGCCCGCCCGCCCAGCTCTACTGACACTAGTATGCTGGGCCCCCATTCTGCACTCACAGAAAAGCCTCACAGCCAAGGACAGAGCTCCTCCTCCTCCTGTGTCCCCCGATCTACGGCCTCACCTCTGCATACACTGTGCGCCTCATCCTCCTGCTCCCTGCTCCCTCTGGTCACAACAACTAAGCAGTCTGTGGAAGCCAAAGGCCTCAGCCGCTGTGTGCTCCAGGGACCAAAAAAGAACCTGCTACCACACACTCATTCAGGCAGAACCTGCAACTCTCTCTGAGCGCACAGCACCGAAGTCAGCACTCGCCAGCTGGGAGTGTAGCACTTCCCTGAATTTCAGCTCACAGGGGGCTGAGGCAGGTGGGTCACAAGTTTATGCCCAGCCTGGGCAACTTGGTGACTTAATGACACCCTGCCTCAAAAAAAGGGGCTGGGAATGCAGCTCAGTGCAAAGACCCTGGGTTCAACCTCAGAACTTAAACCCCACTCCTGAGAAAAACTAAAAAGAAAACCTAAAACCAAAATCCCCTAAAAAACAGAAAAAACTGGGCCGGGGAGATGGCTCAGTAGAATAAGCGCTTCCCTGGCAAATGCAAGGGCCTGAGTTCAATCCCTGGTTCTGCCAAAAAACCCCACAAAACCCAGACACACAGAAAAAACTGGTCACACATTTCTATGAGAGCCACTTTAAATTTGTGATGCTAAGAGGCATAAATTTTACAGACTGGATATGGAATCCTGAATTGGCTAATACAGGTATATTCTCTTACAAAAAGCAGGACTTAATATTTAAAAACTGCCCACTGCAGCAGCTGGGCCTCTTACCATCCTAGCACTCAGGATGCTACATGGAAAGTTCCTGGCTGGCCTGGACAACATCCACAAACACAATCACCAACGAGGACAGCTATCCACTACACCTAGTTCTGAATTTTTTTTTCTGTTATCATCTAATCTAATAGAATTTCAAAAAAATAATTTCACTGAAGCTTAATGAAATAGTCTGTCAGTTACCAACTCTTGGGATTTATTTATTTATTTATTTATTTATTTATTTATTTGTGGTACCGGGGATTGAAGGTAATAATATTTTTGAAGCATTATCTTCAAAAATTTTCCAAGATGAAGACTCATCTAAATCTTCACTCATAATCATATTTAGATATCAGCGTTCAGAAAACAAAGCACTGCCAATTTATTTATTTTTAATTTTTTTGGTACAGGGTCTCACCCCACAGCTTGGACTCATAATGATCCTCCTGCTTTCAGCCTCCCCAGAGCTGGGCTTACAGGTGTGCACCACCATGCCCCATCTACAAGACTGGCCCTTAGCACTGTCATTTTAAAATTAAGCCACAAGGTCAACTTGAGATGCATAGTGAGACCCTGTTTCAAAGAAAAACAATAAAATAAGGGCCAGCCAAATAGCTCAGCATAATGATTTTCTTCTTTACAATAAGTTTTGGACAATTTCATTTTTGTATATCTTAGTACGATTTTATTTAAGTTTCTTGTGCAAAAGATTCAATTTTCTTGGAATCCCCCCCCCCAAAAAAAACCCCAAAACCCCAAATAGCTCAGCAGCTTAAAGCACCTGCAAGCAGGTGCAGGGTCTGGGGGTTTGATCCCTGGGCTTGCCATACTGGCCCGGCCCCAGGGGTGTGCTGAGATGGCAGTTGAGACTGGGTGTGGTGGCATGCACCTGTAATCCCAGCTCTTGGGAGACTGTAAACAGGTGGATCACTATGAGTCCAATCTAGTAATGAGACCCTGAACACCCTGTAGACCCTTCCCTGAAACACAAAAATACAAAACAAAACAAAACAAAAAACCCCCAAACAATAGATAAGCCACAGAATACTAAAGATTAACAATACTTTCAATAACAGCTGTGAACATCATTCTTCTGTTAATTCAAAACGACCTATAGGATTGTGCCATCGTTTACAAAGCCAAAGAAAAGCTGAGGCAGGGGTTGCAATACCTTAAGAGATGCTTATTGTCTATCAGCACTTTCAGATAATCTGCCAGCTTCTTTTGCATGAGGGCAAGATAGAGCCAAGCTCGGCCTCTCCCCACCGCCGTCCTGGAAATCAAATAGAGAACAAGCTGTGTGGCGTGACAATGACAACAGACACACAAAACCGCACCTCAATTCAGTCAGGGATGTTCAGGCTCACACAACCCTGTGCGGCTTGTGCCACAGGGACAGCAGAGAAGGGACCTGCATCACACTTTGGGGTCTGTCTGTATTCTGCACCCTAAGCACCTGTTCTTTTTCTTCTTTTTCCAACAAAATGAAAAAATCTTAAGCCACCAAATTCTGGTTTGCAGAACACACACAATGCACATGTAAGTAAGGTCTCTCAGCGAGCCAGGAAACAACACTAGATGGTGTGACAGCTCTTTCGCTGCGGACACCGTGCAGTGTGCACAGCGCAGTGCGCAGGGCACCCAAGCCTCAGGGACTCCTATGGCACCGGCCTCAAGCGCATTTCAGGCTGGGCTGCGTTTGCAATGGTGGCAAACTGCACGTGGCACAAACCTTACCTCCTAGCATCTTTTTTTAAAAATTTTATTTATTTATGTGTGTGTGTGTGTGTGTGTGTGTGTGGCCCGCTCAGCCCACCAGGGGGCGGGGGCTGGCTGGCATGTGGTGCTGGGGGATTGAACCGCGGTCCCTGTGCTTTGCTAAGCTTGTTCTGAGTAGGTGCTTTAGACCACTCAGCCATCTCACCAGCCCCACCACCTAGCATCTTGCAGCACAGCTGCAGCACGCAGACCTTCATGCCTCTGTACCACTGGTCTCAAGCCTGCAGCTCTGAAAAGGCCCACCCTGTTCCCAAGAAGAGAAAGCTTCTAACCATAGAACTAAAACTTTAAGGAAAAAAGAGTCTGTTCGCAGCAGAGAAACTGCACGAGTAGCAGGAATAAAGGCAATGCTGCAGTGAATAATCTGCATGAAAGGATGCTCACAGGGCTACAGAGCTCACTAGATGTGGCTCAGATGCCCTCTAGAGTTTGGAAGCCAGCCTCAGAAGGGTTAATCTAATTTCAAGAATAAATGATACCAAACCACAGTAAAGGAAAAAGAAGTAGGATAAGAAGGTATGCAGGGCTGGGCCTGAGATAGCTCAGTGGCCTAAGTGCCTGCTTAGGCAAGGGGAAGGGACCAGGGTTCAATCCCTGGGACCACAATGAGTCTGAGCTGCGTAGTGAGACCCTGTACCAAAAACATAAAAATAAAAAACAGAGTACATAGTATTTATGAATGGTGAGATACAGGGACCAAGGGTCCATCCTGAGCTGGACACACACACACGCGCATGTGTGCGTGCAGGCCGCTGAGATAGCTCAGTAGACTAAGTGGCCAGGGTTCAATCCCTGGTACCACATGCCACGCCAGCCCCACCCGTATGCGCTGAGTGGCCACCAAGTCCAGGCGTGATGGTGTGCACCTGTAATCCCAGAGCTGGGGAGTCTGAAAACAGGAGGATCACTACAAGTTGGAGCTGTGTAATGAGACCCTGAACAAAACACACACACACACGCATGCACTGGGAAGATAGCTCAGTGGTCTAAGTGCCTGCCTGGCAATTGCAAGGACCTGGTTTGATACCCAGTACTACAGCCCTGGAACATGCTGGCCACTGAAACTGGGCATGGTGGTGCACACCTGCGATCCCAGTGCTGGGGAGGCTGAGACAGGAGGATCACTACAAATGTGAGTTGCATAGCAAGACTCTGCACCAAATAAATAAATGAAAGATAAAAAAAAAAAAAGAAAAAAAGAAAAAGGCAATGTTGGCGTGATGCAAAAATAAAGGCTGCTGTGTGCTGCTTAGGAAGTGAATGAAGTGGCACACCTTTTCTAGCCAAGAATTTGATGACAACAGAATCCATGGTTCAATATCGAGCGCTGCGCACTCCGGTGCTAACTTAGGGGGGACATAGGATCATGTTTGGGGTGGTGTCCGTATCGATGTGAGGGCATAATGAGAGTCTGAGGGTCACTGCAAAGTCCACATGAGGCTCTAACAATGCGCCGGGCTGAGAGCAGCGGGAGGCGTGCTCGTGCACGGCTGCGACCCCAGTGCCTTGAGCATCACCAAGTCTGGGGCAAATCTGGCAACTCAGCAAGACCCTGTCTCAAAATAAGAAAGGCTGTGTAGCTTAGTGGTAAAGCACCCCTGGGTTAGATCCCTGGTACGGGGAAAAGAGGGGGAAGATAAAAAAAGATGCTATGCACAAAGAAATACTGCCAGTCTATGGACACAGGTGTCACCCCAGCTGAGCATCACACGGTATTACAGATACGCCTGCCTGCTACACACATGTACAGCTACTGTATCAGACACATACTGAGTACTAATAGTGCAGGCCCGTAATCCCAGCACTTGGGCGGCTGAGGCCAGCCTGAGCTACACAGTGAGTGCAAGGGCAGCCTGAACTAACAGTGAGACCCTATCTCAAAAACAAAGAAAAGGGGCCGGGGAGATAGCTCAGTGGAATAAGTGCTTCCCTGGCAAGCGCAAGGGCCTGAGTTCAATCCCCAGTTCCACCAAAAAAAAAAAAAAAAAAAAAAAAAAAAAACAAAGAAAAAATCCCCTAGAAGAATATATACTAATAAAAAAGATGCGGGTGACTACTTGACATGAATTTAAAATATTGGGCTGGCGAGATAGCTCAGCAGTCAAAAGTGTTTGCTTAGACAAGCTCCGGCAAGCTCAGGGACCACGATTTGATCCCTGGCACCACATGCCGCACCAGGCCCACCCCAGGGCAGGTGAACCAGCCCCACATACGAAAAGAAGTTTAAAAGCTAAAATTAGGGGCCAGGGAGATAGCTCAGTAGAGTAAGTGCTTCCCTGGCAAGCACAAGGGTCTGAGTTCAATCCCCGGTTCCACCAAAAAAAAAAAAGCTAAAATTAAATGGAAAAAGCTATAAAACAGTATGCACACTTAACTCACTTATGTATCTGGCAGAACCAGGGACTGAACTCAGGCCCTTCAAGCGCTTGTTCCACTGAGCCATCTCCTGGCCCCAGCATGCACATTTTAGAAATCTGAACTTGTTGTTGCTTTGGAGTAGGTGACGATTCCTGCACCTGGCCCAACACCACAAGTACTGCCCTGCAAACCACTCAGCTCCAATTCTTTCGGATTCTGTCCACCTTCTCGCCCCCCTCCCACACCCACACACGCACTTTCCAGTTCAGGCTCACCTCTGGAAAACAATGAACTCTTACTCTTCTCTCCTATCTGAGAGCCAAACCCTTGCCAGGTCTCCAGAACCTGGAAACCTCTCAGCACAGGAGGACTTCTTCCTCACAGCCTCCGTGTCTCATGAGTGGATGCTGGCCCTAAGCTGCTGCTGTCATGACAATGTTGCGCCAGGGAGTCATCAATCTTTTCTCTGAGTTTGGATCCTCAGATGTGGTCCTGCTGGCCCGAACAGCCTGGCTCGACTGCCTCAGGTGCTAGCCCCAGGTGGCAGGGACTGTGGGCCCCACAGTGTGCAGCGCTGTGTCACATGCTCCATCGCAGTGACTGCCTGGAGTGGGAGTGTGGGTCAGGGTGGGTGCAGCTGCAGTCCTGGTGGGCAGGGCCAAGCTGTCCTCACCTCAGGGTGCAGCGTGACACCGTGGGGCAGGGGATAAGATAGACCTTCTCATCTGTCTGACTGACAATATGCCAGAAGGAGCCAGAAGGACACTAAGATTTTAATATATTTCTTCTCCCCACACCCTTTTTTGGGGTCTGCTGGGTCTGAACCCAGGGCTTTGGAGATGAGCTCTTCCTCCCAAGCAGCTGTATTCCTTGATTACAGGGTAATGGAGGAAGTATATAATCCAATTTGTTTTTGGCTGGTTTCTATTTCCTAATTAAAGATCAAGCAATGAGAAAAAATTGTTTTTAATTTTCAAAAGACAGAGAAGTCTTGCCTGTCTGCAGTTGCTATCTACTCTGCAAAGCTCTGTTCAATCAACAGCATGACAGGAAAAGTGAGCCATTTGGGCAACAGGTTTTGCTATGAAACAGTCTTAAACTTTGTCAGAAGTATTAAACTCTAGAAAAGTCTTCCAAGGAATGTAAAATTTATCCTGTTTCAAACCACTTTAAATAGGCTTGTATTACCTAATCCCACAAAAACTCCTAATAAGTCACGGTATTTTCAAAATATCACAGAAATTTCAGAGCTCTCCTCAGCTCCCCCAGGCTCCTGCTAGCAGCACCAAGAGCAGAGACCCATGGGTCCGAGCGCTTCGGCAGCCATGGTGGGGATGTCTAACACTGAAGCTTCTAACCTGTTAGCAACCAGAGGATTAATGAAGTGTGGTGCTGTGGTGGACCTGACGTAGGGAGCTAGTGCTCAGTACAGTAAGACTTTTGCTCTCTGCTGGGGGTGCGGCTAGTGGTAGGGTGCCTAGGAGACGCTGAATTTAGTCCCCAGAACTGAGAAGAGGGCACTGAAAAAATATCTGAGAGGCTCCAAGTGTAAAAGCTTTGTGGTGAAGGCCCACAATACTGCAATAGCGACAGGGACCAAAGGCCAGGAATACACACAGCTCGACGATGAAGGTCAGCGAGATTTAGAGGTCGTGGGGCCCAACAGATCCACGACTCTCCTGGCTCCATGCTTCCTGCCAAGAGAACTCAGGGAAGTCACTCCATCCCTCTAAGTCTTAGTCTCCACACTTGCCAATGGGTGCCCCGGGCTCGCAGAGGACCTATGCAGGGGATCAGATGAGTCAGTGAAAGGCTCTCCGTACAGTGCCTGACAGCAGATCCTTAGAGGGGCAGTTGTTACTGTCTAAAACCAACAGGCTGGCTCCACAGAACTGTTAAGCAAACGCTAAACATTAAGTCCCCCATGGGAGGCTCTTTGGAGGACTCTTACATCAGCTTATGGATCCCTAGAGCCCCTCAGAAATGTCAGATTCCACGAAGATGCCACATTTGTGTCCTCTCCAGCTTTTGATTCTGAGCACATGCGGAATGGCCCCAGGACAAACCCAGACATAGTGAATAACTCACCGGCCAGCCTATCACAATGCCCTTGACCTGGAGTTGACGATCTGGCCTAAACTCTATTACTCACACTGTCCAGCTGTGTCCAGACTCATCGAGTGTTAATGACGCCTTTTCCTCTGACTGCTCTTTAGTAATAGCTCTTCAACCTATTTGACCTGTTCAGCAAGCAGGAATCACTGTGCTCGTGTGAAAGAAAAGGAAACCGAGGCTCAGAGAGATGCAGATCTCAGAGAGGTATGGATAACAAGTAGCAGGACTGTGATTAAAGTTTAAGTAGAGTGCGGTTCATGCTACAGTTTGTTCCAAGTTAGAAAAAGTTTTATCAGCAAAGAATTGAGAAATGGGTAAATATGAGGGAGTTTTCTTTTAGAAACATCAAATTGGTATTACTACTTCTCACTCACTTTAGTTCTGGCAGATTTCTGACACTAGTAGCTATATCTGAGGCTTCTGGACAAAGTTTCTCCACCAGCTCCAAAGGACCAAAGAAAGACTTATTTTGGCCAATAAAACTCTTCTTAACTAAAAAGGGAAAACAAAAGTGTTATTCATAAGAACATGTTGCAAAATGTCTTTAGGGGCCCACAATCTTTCTCCCGAAAGCCAAGTGAAAGTGCAGAGCCGCACTGCTGAGCCCTTCTGCCTCAGTCCTAGGGACTGGGGACGGCCAAGGAGCACACAGCTCTTCCCTGACAGCAGGGCTTCTAGCACACTTGCTAAGCCCTTCTTCTGTTGCCCTGAAAGAGCACAGGCGCCTTCTACGCTCATCTGGGAACTCCGTCACCGCTTTTCCTCCTGATGGGAACAGCAATGCTTCACTTCTTCGACTCCTCACTGTCATCCCTCACCGAAGGGCTCTAGTAACCTAAGCGCTCTCCCAGCTCCCACGGTTACAATTCGTTCTGGGCACACTGAAGTTCTTTCGCAGATGCAGGGTAGGTTGCCCTAACTCTGAAATCTCCCAAATCCTAAAAATCTAATCCTAACCCTGACCCAAGGTTTTCTTTTCTTTTGTTCTAAGACTTGGACCAAAATCCTCCCTCAAATCCTCCAAACACATTAAGTGCTAACTCATTCCGTGAACCGAGAGGACCTGCAGGACGGCCTCCTTCCCACGCCCCGCCCGCTCTGCTCTCTCAGCAGGCCTGCTTCCTGGAGTGCCCCTTCCTGAGGCAGCACGAGGATCTCCCGCCAAATCTGCAGCCCGCTCCTTTTCCTGGGGTCTCAGCTCGCATTTCACCTCCCTGGAGACTTCCCCTAGCCATCTGCTCAGTTTCCTTCCTTAATTCTCCATCATTTAACTTGCTTTGCTTCCTTGACTTCATGGCACTTTGTAATGATGGCTGTTTCTGTGTCTACTGTTTGTCTTGTCTTCTAGAGCTGCACTGTCCAAGGCAGTGACCAGCCACACACGCTGCTCACAGGGCGCTCCACTGTAGCCAGTGCTAATACAGAACTGGCCTGAGATTTGCTGGAAGCATAAAATAGTGGGTTAAGCCTTGTTATGAAAAAAGGATGTTAAAAGGTCGGTAATAAAGTCTCAAAGTAATGATTATGAGTCAAAATGATATTTCGAACATACTGTTTGGTAAAACTCAGTAATATTAATTTCGTCTTTTTAAACCTTAAATGTGGCAGTGGAAAATTAAAGGCTGTTTCTGTCTTTGCCCTTTTCTTTGGACAGCGCAGCGCTATGGAGCGTGCTTCTCGGGGCCAGGGGCTGCTCTGCACACAGCGGTCGTCCTGAAACCAGAAGCCCAGGCCCACCTTTCAGCCCGTGTCTGAGGCAATGCTCCATCACCACGAAGAACTGCTGCAAGGGGGCGTGGTCCGCGTCCAGGCTGCGGCCCAGGCTCAGGGCGGACTGCAGCAAGACTCTGATGCTCAGTTTCATCATGTGCATCAGGTTGGCGCGCTCCTCCATCATCTGGCTTCTGGAGGCTGTGGGGCAAAAGCAAGGGCACAGTCCTCAGCCGACTGAGGGGGGTCCGCGGGGAGCGTGGGACGCCAGGCTCCCCAACGCGGGTGCACAGGGTGCAGACAGAAGGCTGACGATGCGTTCACAGTCTGCTGTCACCACCCCCTTGCAGGCCACAGCCCTGCCTGAGCCTCGGAGGAAGCCGGGCCTGCCATTCTGGAGGCTTTCCACGGGTGGCTTCACGCGTTGCCACGGCGATGGTTCCACCAAGTCACCTGATTGGTGTCCCCCACCACCCGAAATCCATTTTCGGCCAATGAAAGGGCTTAAACGCCACTTTAACTGGAGCATGTGCTGGGAGGGTGTCCAGCGCCTCCGGCCCTACTGGGCGACTGGGGGGGCACGCCCACTGGGCGGGCGCCGCCTCGCGTTCCTTCTAGTC